ATTCTATGATTCTATGATTAATGCTAGAAACATTCTCTGCATCAGAAACCAACTGCTTTAAGGAATGAGGTCATAAATCAAATTTGACCTTACTAACCTGTCCAACACCTAGATGTGTCTTCTAAAATCCCCCAGTTACTTTCAACGGAAAGCTAGCACACAGGGAATAAGACAGAGTTAGTGCTACACCTAAAAAACTGTAACCATTATCACTGAGCAGTTTATGTAAAAATCACTGCAGTAACTTCATTCATCCACCTTATTCTCCAGTGATGAAACTACACTGCATTAATAACGATTTACTTCAGTGCAAACAATGGGTCAACCAGGTCTATGTATCATATAAAAATACTTGAGTTTCAGTCTTACTAAGAACACCGTAATACCTGACACCTTACCTAAAAACCTAACACTTACCTGTATAAAGATCTTGTTTTTCCTTGAAACCACCAGCAGACCTTTTTCTGGACCAACTTCTTTCTCGAAATCGTACCATTATTGACATATTTGGCTGGTTGTTGACATCTGTCACAGTAAAAGACTTTGTTTCTAAAACTTTTCCAAACTTTCGATTGATGAAGTGGTGAACTACTTTTCTGTGCTCTTTGTTTCCATCAGGCTCGAAAGAAAAGGTAGAATTTTCTACCTTCGCATCTAAGAATTTAAAGAAATCGCTTGTTTCCTTTTCAGTCACTAACTGACAAAGTTCTCTGTAATCAGCATTTCCTTTTACAATCATTTCATTGTCTTTTGTAACAGTGACTAGAAAGGGGAATTTCTGCCTAACAGCACTGTGTAACTCTGCTCGATTTTTCTTGTCCAGTACAGGACCCAGTGAGAACTCCCTAGCGCCCGCGTCGGCATTATTTTCCAAGCCCCACACATCCTTCAGATCAGAAGCAAATTTATTGAGCAGCTCGCTCATGGGTTTGCCTAGGAAGGAATCCAATACATCAGCTTCCTCGCGGCCAGATTTCAGTCCAGGTTCGCCCTCATGCTGGTGTGTGTTCGGGGATGCAGAACAGCCGGCTCCGGCCTGGTTGGGGCTGCGCTCCGAAGGCCTGGGCGCACCACCCTGACAGCCCTCGGCACAGGGTGCCGGCAGCTCCCTTCTCAGCTTTTTGGGTTGCTCCAGGCACTGGCTGCTGTGTTCCAGCCGCGCCTCGAGGTCTTCCTGAAGCGCTGCAGCCCGGGCACCGCGAAGGAGGTGTTCCGGCACCTCGATTTCTGTCACTACGAAGTCACCGGGTGAGTTTTTGATGGTACCGCAGAAGCCAGCGTGGTCAGTGAGGTAACGGAAGGAACGAAGCATGGCTCCCCGCCTTCCCCCGCTCCCGGCCCGACACCACGACCCCTGCACGGGGAGAAAACGCAAAAACAGGGGCGGGCGGAAAGAAGAAAAGGTACCAGCTACTACAGAAAAGGCTGC